TCCCGTGGGGTGTCCCCGTCCCGCCGGTGCCCCGTCACCTACCGTCAGCGCATCCCCGGCAGCGTGCAAGAGAAGAGCGGGGTTAGACGGGGCTGCGGGCGAGCGGCACCAAGCGACAGCCACCAGCCACCAGGACCGGCTTGGGGGGACACAGGCCCGTCCCTCCGCCCCGGGTTTAAACCAGGGGGCTGCGATTTGCTCCCCCAAAATCTCCAACACCCCCAATTTTTGTGTGTTCTTGGTTTAACCAGAGCGCCCCAGGACGGTGGCAGTGCCGGGGTGGGGACGCGGATCCAGCCCAGCCCCTGCTCTGTCCCTGGGGACACACAGGGGGATGTGGCTTCGTCCCCACCCTCAAAGCAGCAATGGACACCCATTTTTAGGACCGGGCCTGCGTCTCCCTGCCAAGCCCCTCTCCAAGCGCGGCGCGGCCGGGGTGCAGCGAGGCGAGAGCGGGGGACACAGCGCAGGGACAGGGGGACACGTGGGGACGGCACCACACGTTACCTTACAGTGAGGGGCCGCGGTTTGGAGGAGCCCTGGGTGGGGGACGAGGAGGTGCTTTTGTTCAGGTCCTCCAGCGACCGCTCCTTGCCCTTGTCAGAGCCGGGGCTGTTCTCTGTGCTCTCCATGTCATACCTGGTGGCCCGTGGGGACATGGGGACCGGTGAGACACGGCACCCCCACACGGGCAGATGTCCCTCAGGGATGTTGGGGATGTTCTGCTCAGCCCCAGCCATGGAGCACAGCCCTGATGACAAGGGAGCACCCCCAGGGACCCCCCCCCAGCCCCAGGGGAGGCTGATCCCAGCCTTGGGGACAGGGCACCCGGTGGGGACGTACGCGACAGAGCACTGGGCAAAGGCGAGGTACTCCAGCAGCACATCCAGCCCCTTGTTCTCCTCGTTGAGGAACTCCTGGACCCAGCTGGAAGGTGCAGAGGGTTAGAGGGCTCTGCCAACCCCCACATCCTCTCTCCCCCTGCCCCAGCCACTCAGCAGAGCCACCCCTCGGTCAGAGGTCCCCAGCAAGGGCGGAACACATTGGGAACATGAGGTGGCACCGTGAGCTGGCATTTCTCTGAGGCCAGGTGAGTGCTGTGGTGAACCTGATACATGGAGGACTCAGCCCAAGGGCTCTCCTGTCTCTCACTGTCACCACTGCCACTGCTGCCACCACTGTCACAACAGGACAGCCTGACCCTGGGAACTGAGGGCACCCACAAGGGGTCAGGACAGCCAGGGTGGGGCAGGGTCCCTCCTGGCACCCAGGGGGTACCAGAGAGCCAAAATGGGGTTCAGACCCCACAGCACCCCCAGCTGCCTCAGCACCCTCAGCTCCCATCAGAGCCTTCCTGAGGGGGCAGGATGAGGCCACAGGCTCCAGCCAGAGCCAGCAGCACGTCCATCCCCATCCCAGAGACAATGGCAGTGGCTGGGTGACAATGGCACCCCACCCTTACCCGATGTAGTTGGTCCTCAGGGAAATCTCCAGCTCCCGGAGCACCTGCGTTGACTCCTGCACTCTCCTCTTGAACTGTGGGACGGGGACAGCCATTGGCACCGTCCCTGTGCCCAGCCTGGCACGGGGATCAGGGCACCGCGCTGCACTGGGGACCCCTCACCTTCCTGCTGACACCACCCGTGTCCAAGTAGCTCTTCAGCTTCTGGATGTAGGCAGATGGGGGGTTCTTCACCTGGAAACGCTCCTACGAGCCCAGAGAGAGGCTGAAACTGCTGTGGCTCTGGGATGTGCCACTGTCCCCACAGCAGCCACAGTGTCCCTGTCCCCACCCCAACTGCATCAATGCTTAATGAGGTTAATAAGGTGCTGTGTCAGTAAGGAGATGGATGTCGGTGCTTGGTGCAGTCACATTGATGCTCAAGCCATGCCACGAGTGGCACCTGGGGACAGGGACAGCACTGGGGACGCTGTGAGCTTGGACCTCACCTGGTCACAGATCAGCTCCCATTTCTTCTCGTTGTCGTACTGGTTAAGCAGCTTCATCTTGTCTGGGGGCAGGTTCATGGAATTCTGTGGGTGAAGGGTGTCAGAGCTGGGGGTCACCCCAAAAACACCCCTGGGATGTAGCACCCCCTGCTCCCCAGCACTGTGTCCTTGCTCAGCAGTGGGAGCACCAGTGGGACGTGGGGATACCCGTGGGAGGATGGGGACACCAGTGGGACATGAAGATTCCAGAGAGAAGAGGGAGACACTAGTGCAAAACTGGGGACAGTGGTGGAACAGTGGGGACAGTGTTGGGAGGGTGGGATCGTGGTGGAAAAGTGAGAACAGCATTCTCAGGTTGGGGACACTGGTGGGGTGATGGGGACACCACTGCTCCCAGGATGTGACCACCCCATGTCCCCACTCGAGGGTCCCTAAGGGGAGGGCAGGGGGTGCTGGTGGGGGACACGAGGAAGAACCAGACACATCCATGCATGCCATGAGTGCACCACGTGCCCAGTCCCAGCAGGGCCACACGGGGTGAGGGACAGAGACCCTGACTGGTGACACAGCTGAGGGACCCAGGAGCCCCCGAGTCCCCCCCACCTCGTGTGTGACGAGACCGTGTGGGGAAATCAGTGTTTATTGAGAGGCAGTGATGTCAGGGCCTGGAGTGTCCCCACGTCCCTCCGTGCCACCGTTGCACAACCCCAGCCCCCACAGCCACCGCAGGACGTGACGCCGTTTCCGCTCCTGCCACGAGCGGCATGCAGCTCCTGCCTCTGGGCTGCTCTGCTGAGGGACACCATGGGGTGACCTTCATGGGACACCCACCATGGCCTGGGCCAGGCTGCAGCTCAGCTCGGCTCACAAGTGATTTCTTTGCTAAAAGACACCATTTCTGTATTTGGCAGGAGAGAACCTGCAGGCCGGCCCGACGACACGTGGAGCAATGCACAGCCCCAAGCCACCCCTAAATCCCAGTTCTGAGGTTCCCTGATGAGGAGGATGGGGACGTGGGGTGCATGCCGTGCTGGAACAACCACATCCTTGGAGGGAGGCATCTCCCAGGGCTTTGGTTGCCCACAGAAGAGCAGGTCCAAGGGGAGAGATGCCACTGTGGTGGGCAGAAACAGAAACCTCTCCACCACCTCCAGGGAGGACCTGTCAAGCTGCTTTCACAAGAGCTGTGGGTGGGAGGGACTGGCTTTGGCTGGGGCTGGCTGGCACGGAGAGCTGGGCAGGGGGCACAGAAACGGCCTCATTGTGAAGCCACTGGAGCTGCTGGGTGTTCTGGGACGGACAAGGTGACAGCAGCACCTGGCTGTCCCCAGTGCTGGTGGCCGAGCTGGCATCCTCGGCATGGATGAGGGTCAGGCCAAGAGACAGGGCCACACACCCAGACACCCCAGCCAGGGCTCTGGCACACCCTTGGCACCCTCTGGCAGCCCTCAGGGCTCTGTGGGACACCCATGGGTGCCCTTGGCAGGGAGGGGATGGTGACACCTGCCACGTGGACCAGCTCTAAGCAATCACATGTGGCACCTGGACGAAGCAGGACCCTGCGCTGGGACAGGAGCCAGCAGGAGGGTGGGGCAGGGGCTGCCGGGCTGTCCCTGTGGAGG